AAAATTAAAAAATCAATTACAAATAGACACTCTTTATTTCTCACAAAAGTTAAAATAAGAACAGTTTTATGAAATAGATGGGGTAATTTTTACTCCCAACCCCTCTCCCCTCAAAACCCACTTTGCCCACCTTGTCCCCACCCTAACACTCCTTCGCCCCTAGCCTCCCCCCACAACCTTTCTATGCCTATTTGTACATTATTAATACTCCCCCCGTTCCACAAAATTCTTCCTCTTTCGTTTTTTTTGCTTTCCACAAAACACTTCCACTTTCTATTAAAAACCACTTTTATTTCTACTTTTTCATACCCTACTTATCACATCATACTTTTTCACTAATAACCAAACTATCACATCTTACTTTTTCCCATCACATCAGGGGCAAAATTGGAAAGTCAACCAAAATTACACTTTCCTTATTTTTTCCCAAAGTCAAAACCGGAATGATTTTGTGGAACAGAGGGAGTATAACAAATCAGTGTTGAAGGAATATATGAATGCTAGGGTGGGGGCTGAAAATAAAAATGATTAGAAATCATCAATTTTATGAAAGAGTTACCGGAGTTATGTTGTCCACTATTATTCCATGAAATTGAAACTCTATGTTCAGGGAACCCCAGGGTGCTTAACTTTTACTTTGTTTAAAAATTAAGATATTTTGGTCAATTATTTAGACATTTATGTATTAACATAATTTCCATTGTTAGATACTTACATTAGAAATGAAGTTCAAAGAATGCAACAGCATAATATTGTCTGCTTCTTAGAGCTTGTTTGGAAGTGATTAACTTCTGGGTGAAGTGATTTCCATAAAACCTCAAAGCAAAAGCACCCCATACCTGCTTCTCCAAAACGGTGTTCTGTGTATAAAATAGTGGTGGTGAAAAGCAGAAGCTGACATGCCAAACAGAATAAAATCACTTCTACTCAAAGCAGAAGCTAAATTATTAAAAGCAGCGCAATGCCAAACACCTCTTAGTGCCTCTATTGGCAACTCTATTACTCGAATGCAGAGTATCTTAATAATACACATTCTTTTGAAAATTGTTTGTAAATTTTTAAAGATTTGGTTAAGTATAAAAGGACTATTTATCACAAAAAATGACTTTTGCAATCATGTTTGGTTGACCCTTTAGGATTTTGTCTTGTGAATGAGATGAAAAGTCTATAGCTTTTTTAATGAGTAATTTACTTAAATAAGATTAAAACATAATGACTTTCTCAATATATGACAATATGTTTTTATTTTTCAATGTAGGACCATTGGTCATTATCTATTAGTCATTATTCATGTCCAGCATCACTTGGACATTATTCTTCTCACTAGTCATTATTAAGTCTTATTTATGAAATAAAAAAGCGTAAGTCCTACATTGGAAAATTAATTATGTTTTAGTCTTATTTAGTACAAATGAGACTTGTTTAATACGGTTAATACTTTATCACCACATTTTAATCTTTTTATTGTTCGTTATATCAACCTTTATCATAAAGTTGTGCATCATAATCTTACTTAATCCATATGACAAACGACGCGATACCATCATTTTATTTAGGGCTTGTTCTCTGTGTTAGAAATTTGTTTTAAGGAAGAACTCTGCGAAGCAGCATTGACAAAAAAATGAATAAAGAAACGAATGAGTTATGACTTGATACTTTCAAGAATCTGGTAAATGATTTCAGATCAAAAGTATTTCAGGGTATACCAAAATACTTAATTGAACAAGACGTTAATAAAGAAAAAGCACTTCCCATTTATATATCAACCCATACCTATGTACGTCTCTTTATTTATAGAAATGAAAAGCCATGATTAGACACATACGTTCGTGAAAATGCGTTCGTACAGCGAACTGACAAATTACATGTGATTTTTTTGATTAATTTTTATGTACACGTGTTAGATGTCCCCAACAAAAATTAATGTGCCCCCATCTAATCATATCAAATTTTTTTTTTTTGATTAATTTTTTAGTAAAGTGTATTTTATTGCATATAATTATTTGTGTATAAAATAAAATTTTACATTGCGTTTAAAAATGGTTTACATTTAATAAATGTTTGAAGCAAAATTCATCATTTATTTATTTCTTGTCATTTCAAATAGCCTGTAAATAATTCAGAAACATTGCTTTGGACCCCCGACCAATGGTGCCCCCATCTAACTGAACTTCTGGATCCACCACTGGGTAAAAGTATGATGTGATAGTACATTATTAGTGATAAAATATAATGTGATAAATTTGGTAAGAGTTACGGAGTAGTAGGGATAAAAGTAAGTTTTTAATAGAAAGTAGAAGTTTTTGTTAAAAGAAAAAAAAAAAGCAAAAGAGGAAAAGTTTTGGTAAATAGGGGAGTAGTAAAGAATAACTTTTCAAAACTCTAAAATTCCAAAGATTATATACTCCATAAAATAAAGTTGTAAATTCATAGTAATATTCACATTATTTTGGTCTAAAATAATGCTAACAATTACTCCGGTATTTTAGAACGGTGGATTTTTGTTTTTTGTCAAAATGAAACATATGCAGACATGGTGCATGACATATTGACATAGATACACTATTTCCTTCATCTCAAAAAGATTCGATCATTTTTACTATTATCCATGCTTTTTTTAAATCTCTTTTCAAGGATTATTTGATAAAATAACATGATTTTATCATGGTGTTTACGTTGGGTGCTCCCAACATTTTGTGAGCATATACAACATAGTCGTTGAAGTCACACTTTAAAGTCTAAAAGGCATACATACCCTTATTATATTTTTATTTTTAATTGCTTCATCGGTAGTGAATAGACTTACAATTATATTTCCTTGATTCCTTCCATGTTTGTTTAATTTGTTGAGGCAATAATGATTCATCATTTGGGAGTATAATTTGACAGAGTTATGATGAGGAGGGGCCATTGCCAGGCTACAAACATATACAGCTAGAAAACAATGTAAACTACGCTGAAACTTGCGACGAATATAGCGTTGGAGGAGGAAAAGGAACTGGAAGTGGAAACGTATCGGTTAAATCAGATTATTATTATTACTACCAAAATCTTCTTTAAGAAAAGCCACATACTTAGTTTTGAGGTCGATTCCTATAACATTGAGGGTTTCAATATAATGGGACGACATTGGACAACTACGGTTACTCGATTTGTAAAATTGATACTCTCTTCGTTTCTTAAAACACTTTCTCTTTAGTTTTTTTGCTTTTCCCAAAACGCATTCACTTTCTACTAAAAAGTACTTTTACCACTACATTATCTTACCTTACCTATAACATCATACATTTTCATTAAAAATCTACACATCACATCATCTTGTATTTGCGCATCAAATCAAAG